GCACAACAAACCTGTTATCAACGACATAATTGCCCTTTTTAATAAACCGGCCATTATCTCTTCTTCTGTAGACAGGATATCCATCCGCATCGATGGTTGTCCGATCGACAATTTTTTTTGGAAAATACCTCGTGCACTTGCCTTTGTGCATACACGGTGCCTGTTTGTTTTGATAACCACATGGACCATGTATCATAAGTGATGAAACGACTTTTAGTAATTGAGGATCATCATCTTCATTTGGCAAATCCGCTGAGATGATCTTGTCAATATCATCTGGATGTGGATATCTAAATTCCGGTTGTAGGAAAACCAATATGTGAGCGTGAGGCAACCCTCGTTTCTGGAACTCGATTGTATACATTACTGCACTAATGATTCATATGAAGTTAACACTTGATCAAGGGGCCAAGCAAATGCTTTACAGATACGTTAATAATTTTTAGGTATTATTAATATACACCCGTTGTACATGCAAGGGAGATTGAGGGCCTTCCGTGTAAAGTTTTTTGATGATTTTTTTTGTGAATGTTTTCCATCAAGTGTGTATTATTTCCACAAAATTTTAGGTGAATACACAATCGGGAAGATAGTTAAATAAATTATGAAAAACACTGCTCTCTATGTATTTATGTAAAGTGCAATTTTTAAAATAATTTATTTAACTTTCTTCCCGATTTAATTTTAATCTAAAATTTGGTGAAGATACTCTACATACACTTGATGAAGATCATATTCACAAAATTTCATCAACAAATTCCACTCGGAAGGCTCTCAAACGGGCTTGGCCGGACACCGGTCTCTCTCGGTTGTGAGTGATGGGATAAGTTCTCTATTAATACCCAGTATTATATTTAACACATTAAGTAATATGGAGAAAAACATTCATGTACATCGATGCAAAATATTAGTAATAAACAGCCATTAAAACTTGATATAATTGTTAAATAAATGGTATATGTACTTACCTGCCCTGACCTTCCCAAAAACGCTACCCCTTTGATTTCTTTCATCAACTCATCAAGCTTTATTTTGAACACTCGACATATCAAATCAGACCTGTCTTCAGATTTTAGCCCTTGAGTGGCTAAGTATCTAGACAACTCAGGCCAATTTTGGTTACATGTAAATGTAATGAACAGATCTGGATACCTGACCCAACCACAAATCGCCATGGCATCTTGATAATTTTGAAACATATATCGCACCCCACCGGTGAAAGAGGATGGCAAAACAATACGTTTTCCTACTGATGCTGAATTTGTATCACCCTTAAGTATTGCTTCTTGAACACCTTTGTACAACTCCGCTCGCACCTCTTTTTGATGTGTTCTATAATAATGCAACCTGGAGGCCTCTATCGTGCTATAAATATCTACTAAGAATTGCTGGAATAATTTTTTTGAGAACAATAAAGATGCATTCTCAGATGCCCTGTATTGAACTCTATATGCATAGAACTCCCTCATAGATACATTTTGCCTCTTATTAGATCTTTGACCTTGGCGATCCTTTAAGGGAATATCACTTGTGAATCCTTCTTCCCCTCGAGGGAATAACAATGGATATTGTAGTGGTAGATATGCAGGACTCAAAATAGATATACGTTTCGAAGTCCTGCATTGTGTCTCCACAATGATATCCCTCTCAACACTCGCAGCATCAAAATCTCCAACAATTAATGCAGCCACTTCTGATGCTGTAGGAATATTGTATCTCCTAGCATCATGACCCCTTTTCCCCATAATTCTCAATTTTATACCAGCAATTTCACTATCTTTGATCCGGTCACGAACCATACGGTATGCCTGTGCATATGGATTATAGTCATCCAATAGCTTGCTGATGTTACTAACAATAGATGTCTTTAAGGGGGATGGGTCTTTTTCCATCCTGTACATATATTATAACAAATTAAAATGTGGAGGGTGTGTTTAACTTTAAGGCATGGAACAAAAATAATGAGAAAAAAGGCTCACCCAACCACAGACATTCTGTTGGAGATCTCATTGTCAGTGTCATGTATGTATAGTTGCGCAAACTTAGGTTTATCTCCAGGAAGTGGGAGCAAGCTTCCAATTCTATGATAGTTTTCTCCACTCATGATATACATCGGAGGTCCATTTCCATCATTCATGGATGTGTCAATTTTTCCTCCCAATGAGGTGAAAGAAAACATCATATTGAATGCATGAATATTTTCAAGAAAAACTTTACTTCGCTTGTCCTTTTTGTGGAATAAATCCATGAGAAGCTGAGGTGGAGGCAATAGTTGAGGAAGTCTTATCTTACTTTGTGTGCAACACAAAGAAAACTTTGGATTCTTTGACCTCCACCCCTTTTCAACCCTTTCTGAATACCACATCATAGCTTTGCAAAACTCACACTCCCATGTTGGGTCACCAATGTCTAAGTAACCTGTACAAAATATGGTGATTAACTCATATAGAGCATGTCAAATAAGAACTATCATTTCTTTTGTGTTAAGAAATACAGATCCACTCAAATAAGAAGCTAATATTATTGTACCATCGTATGGCATCATATACTCATCTTCGTTTAATGAGATGCTCTCATCAACATGATCATTCATCATCAAATCCTCATTTGATTGATTTACTACAAATGAAAATGAATCATGTCATTTTTTCATGAAATAAAAAAAATTCAAAGTGAGATATAAATATGTGAAAATGTTAAGTTAAATTGAGAGTACCTTGTACTGGATGGAAATTGTTGTTGTCGCTAGGTGAAATAGGTGGTGTACTATGAGAATCTCTAAATATCTCATTTGATTGATTTCCTATAGAGTTGATTGTTAGGTCAGGACGAAAATGTGTGAATAGTATTTAAAATATACTTAAAACTCCATATGTGTGTCAAACCATTTTGTAAATTACCTTGATGAGTTGGACTATTCTCATCTCTCTGTAAGGAGGAACTTGTAAAAGCATGAGAATATGAATTATTCTCCTTTGATTGATTTCCTAAAAGTACGTTGTTAATTAGACTTGATCTTAATTGAATAGTAGTTAAAGAAAATACAAAGATATGATAGTAAATTAAGTGCCAAATTAGGAAAAGGAAATGACATTCTCAATCTTCACAAATTAGTAACACATGTGCATATAAATTATTTAAATGATTGGTTCTTGAATGTATATCTTACCATGCTCAATAAATAACAAAACTAATAATAAGAATGTAAAACTATATACTATTTTAACTTTATTTATGTGTTCTTTACTACATACATGCATATAAAAGCTTCACTAATTTTAGAAAATTAGTGAATCACATGATACAAATACTCATAAGTTGCGTCAAATTAGAATCAAAAGTATTATATAGGACATTGATAACAAATGTTCACGATGAGGTGTACCACCAATGGTATATTACCTACAACACTGGGAGTTGTTGTGAATTGGCGATTGTGTAAGACTGTCTTCCCTGGACGAAGTTTCTAGATCTTGTGATTAACATTTTGCTCCCCAAGTATACTATTGATCCCATGCGTGTGGGATGTACCATGTATTGGTCTTTTAAGAGGCACCTTGTTTGCTAAAATCAAGGAAAAGTTCTTAATTAGCGCACATGAGTGTGACATTGAATTTATTGAGTATATAATACGGAGTATATACGTGTATAGATTAGATGAGACATTAAATACCATTACTAATGTCTACCAATGGCATCCTAGGAACATTGCGATGGATACCTTCACATGGTACTGACAAAGATTCTGAGAAAAGAGATAAAATAAAATTTAATTATTTAAGGAAAGGTGTACACTTTAAAATGATAAAATGACTAAATTTTAAGAATGATAATTTTGTACTCAAATATTATTCCAATTTGAAGAATGACCATTAACATAATGAAAAGTAAGATGAAATTTATTTATTTTAATGAAAGTAACCACATCCTAAATATCACCTGTTAATGGTTGTGCATCGAGGTCTTCAAAGAGCACATGAACTTCATGCAAATTATCCCAAACTAAATCATCCTTTTGCTTTGAGCCACTACCCAACACGAATTGTGTTGGGCGAAATGTTTTTAATGATGCAGCTTGGCTTTGCATTTCTTGAGGATAATTGTTATCATGCTCACTTACCATGACTTTTCTAGGTTGTATGCATTCTTCCCCCTGCATTTGTCATGCATCTCAATTGTTTTATACGAAATATTTAACATTAAAAAAATCCTTGATGATAAGAAATTAAAGATAAGTAAAATAAATTTAGTAGAGTTTGGCGATGAAATCATATTTGGTTTGTCATTATGTTGTGAGGTATGAAATTAGGATCAGCCTCTTTTAAAAAAAAAATAGGATGAGCCTTATTAGGTAACTATATTTCATATATTTTTATTTTGTTTTATTAATAAAATATAATTTATATTTTTCAAAATTTATCATAACAGTCAATCTAGTCACCTTAGCCAAAATTTCATATATTTCATTCAACATAATGAAATAGTGAAGAGGCCGTTTGAGTCAAACTTGATGAATTTCAACGGATGCAGCTAATCTCAGTTGAATCGATTGAACTGGCTGAATCCACTAAAATATAAATTTTATAGCTTATCAAACTACTTTTTCACCAAATACTTAATTTTTAATTTCGCACACTGAATTGCGTAATAATAAAGTAAGATTGAATTTACTTTTATGGTAGTATTGGTTGAAGTTAATGTAGAATACAATTTTAACTATTTTTGGATATAATTTTTTATTAACTTTATTTATAAAATATTTTTTAAATATAATTTTTCATAAATCAGCAGAATCAGCCAATTTAGTCATTTCATTCAAAACTTCATAAATTTGAGTGCAATCAACCGATTCAGCTGATTTCAATATTACCAAACGGACTCCAAATGTTACATGCTCGATAAAAAATGGCACAATAAGGCTGATAAAGTAAAAATCAGGACAACCAAAAAGGGTATAAATAAGAACGGTGACCTTTGATTAATGAGCCACATACGGTATATCTAAAATAGAGTTATCAACAATGCCTAACACCATATTTTCAAAAAGATTTTTGTATTCTTCTTCAGCCCCATTTCTTATTCCACTGTACCATCCAAATTGAGAGAAGAGGAAAGACATGAACTCAGGGTATCTTACGGATGTTGGAATGTAATCCATAGCCATAGTTACACGCTGCCTAGTCGATCGCCAAGACGCCAAGGTGAGGTATTCCATGAACTTAATTACAAATTTGAACAATTTTTTTGAATTGTAATTGGATTGAAGAAATTATAGCCATTCATAATGGACTCCTTAATTTGTTCAATTTGATTTTAGAGGTGTATTTACTTTTATGGTTGCCCACACTATGGTTGTCCATATAATGCATATCTTCAATATAACTGTCCTTTTGAACATTTCTTACAAATTATTACAAATTTTCATCTGCTATTGGTAGTATGATAAAGGCTGATTTAAGTTTGAGAAGCATGTAAATTAGCTATGCAATGTGTAATGAAGTGCTAAGTGCAGATGTTATGAGGTTGGATTCAAAAATTGCCCACCCAATTCAGTGAATTTACTATGTTTTTTATTAGTTTGGAAATATATTTGTATATAAAAAATGTTAAATTGATTGTTTTTTTATCTAATGAGATTTATAGCATGTTTAACTAATATTTATCACTTGACTACTGTGACTTGAATCCTCCAAATTTTGTATGTCATATTAGTAAATCCGTATCATACTATCATATTAGACAGACCCCAAAATCTCATTGAGTGAAATGGGGTTAGATGTTGGATTTTTGTTTTACTCTAAATTAGACACTAATCTTAGAAACCAAAGTTCTTATGTTTATATAAATCCTACAGAGTACAATTTATGATATACAAAGTTTAAAACCAACCAACTTTTTAAAAATCAAACAGAAAACATAATACTATATACTCATGTATGTAGCTTTACATTTTTTATTGGTTTAAACATAATAATAAATAGCTAATTTTATCAAATATCTTTAGACAAATTTACAAAGGTAACATGTTGGCCTAAACTACAAAGAGAACTGACTGGTTTACAGTTGTATACCCCCTTATTGTAATTGTCTTGTCACTAAAAACTCATCCTATACTCCCTCGGTCTCTTTCTTTGGTATAATATTTTATTTCTGTCATATAATCTCTGGTACAATGAATGACATTGATCACTAGTTGATAGGAAATCACATATAATTGGCACAGTCACTGTTATATATCAATCACTTTGGTATAAAATCACATAAATGTATAATACTAAACACATCGACATCATTCTTGTACAACGGGCATGTATGCCTAGTATTTGGTAGAGCGATACGAACCTGGGGTGAGGCTGGTCTGTGAAAGATAAGTCTTTTTTCTGGAACTTCAGCCACAAAATTGGAGCAGCTTGTATACAATGATAAAACTATTACTTGCGGACTGGTGTATATATAACACAGCTTGAGCCTTGTAGAAAACCATCAAATTCTACTCTTTATATAGACTGTAAACCTACAGAAGCATTAAAGAAGAGAAAATGAAATGCTTGGCTGATTTAGTGTAAGTGAACTAATTGTGGAGATTTTTTGGACGAATTTTATGCATATGTTTATGAATATTTATTACAAAGTATCATTTCAGATCACATACTTATATATTACAAAATTATAGCCAATTTCATGCATATTTTACTCAACCTTATGCAATTTGTGCCTGATATTTAGTTAAGTATTAATTGATGTTCTGACAAATTTATCTCCACATATTTTTGGCAATGAGTTAATTCTTATAAGCGATACAAAAGATTGAACCTTGTGAAAACCATCCAATCCTACATTTTCTTTAGACAGTAAACCTACATAAATTTATCAAGACTGCAAGAGAGAAAAATATTTGCCTAATTGAGTGCAGCAAAACTAATTTTGGAGTGATCTGGACAAAGTTTGTTTTCGAAAGTTACGTACGTTTTGTATATTTTAGACAAAGTGTAATTTCATATGACCTACTTGAAGTTACAAATTTTAACCAAATTTTAAAATTGTGCAGCTGATCAATGCATATGAAATGCCTCCATTTATTGGACTAAAACTGGTTTTATTTCACTTTTTAGTGCTTGTACATATCTGGTGTTCATGTTTATAGCATAACATTTAGTAACTGTTAGCCAAATACTTATTCTTTTTCTTTTTGAAAACACACTTGATATGAGTACATATCAAATGCTACTTATTGAATACAGTGATGCCTATCAACCATATTTTATTGGTACTTAGATTTGTTCATCCCCAAAGGATGGGGTAAAGGTTCACAAAACGAACATAAACCTTGATATCAGAAAATTGGACCATGTGATAGAAAAATGATGGCACAGGAAAAACTTATTATAATGATAAGAAACAACCATTGTCAATTTCAAAATCATCGATCTTCTATTATTGGAAGTAATCAGCCATTTAATCAATTGGCTCTCTTTTAATTTCATGGGTCCTGCGTATCTTGCTGCTTGATCCCTGGGTCGCATCATCCTCTACCTCAACTACTGCCCTCTTTCCATTTGACTTGCTGGATGGAGTGTTTTCTTCATCCTAAAAAATTCATCATTTTAAACAATGATATGTAAATATTGAACACATCTAATGGGCTATATATGCATGTGTATTTTATATCAAATAGTTTTGTGCAACAAACATTTGAGTGCAGTTGGACCTCTAAGATATTAAACTCCACATTTGAATCAAACTCTTCCACAGTCTAAAAAAAATGATTTTGTATTTAGAGGGGGTGTATCATGATCTTTATGAAAAGGTTTTTATATACAAAACACTGTAAATTGTTATCTTACATTAATAGTTCCATTGGTTCCTTGTGATAGAAATCCGGTGTCATCAACATCATCTCCAGTGTCATCCTGAAACTTTTGTAAGTAGTTGAAACTTTTGTTTAATAGTAAACACAATAAATTATGTAGTTGAGGTAGTCAAACCTTGATAAGATGCAATGATTTGAATTTCTGCAATTTTTCAGCATCACTAAACATCCTTTTAGCATTATAATTCTTCCATTTACTCTCAATGTTGACTTCTCTGATCTCTACCTTGAACAACAGAGTCTTGTCGAGAATCAAGTCAAAGTCTTTAGGTATGGAATCCATAACACCACCCTACATTTTAAACATATAAGTTATTATTTGTTGTGTATTTGGGTATTATAAAAGAAATATTAGTTAGTGTACAACCTTTTCCATGGAACTTAAAATATCTGAAGCAGATTTGCCTAAGAATGGAATTAAACAATTTTCAAACGCTACAAATGTAGATGACCCGGTACCATCAATCACTTTCATTTCCAGCTTAAACCTGCACATATATCATGCATAATATATTTAAATTGTTGCTAACGTATTGTATACTTACTTCTTTGGATGAGTGTCGTAGTTTTGGTATTTTACCTTGGAACCGCAAGTCTATAAGTATCACATGACCCGCTATCGCAATAGAATTTTGTTCCAACAGGATGAAGCTTTTTGAAGCATTTTTGGCATGACTGATAATACCAAGCATCCGTATCTACCTCAATCACTTTGGCTAGTACAAAAACGAAGCCCTTCTGCTAAATTACATGACATTAGGTATTGTGTGTTTGCGTATGAATATGACAATATTTATTCATATTAGATAAAATAAGATAAAGACACACCTCTGTTGAATCTAGGAGGTCTGAGATTGTCATGAAAGGGGTTTGCTCCAATTCATTTTCAAAAGTAGAAGGAACCTGATCCGAGATACTGGTCACTGTTTGACTTAATGAATGCTTCCCAATACTATATCTGTTATGATTACATCAGATAAAGTGAATGATATTTAACATATACATAGAGATACATGAAAATTATTGCACTCTGTTTGTGGCATTAATTTAATGTCTTTGTTTTTGTAGATGGTGCGAGGCAAGTATGCTACGAATCGTATCATTCCAATGGTATAGAATAAAGGTACAAAACAAAGGAATCCCAAGTGTTGGTCCAAAATAGGACGCTCGTAGGCTTTTAGGAAAGCTACGTACGACACTCAAGCATGAATTAGGAAAGTACGAATATGGAAAGTTAGCCAGAAATAGCATATCTGTATTTGAAATTCGAATTGCCTTTTATAGGCGATTACAAATGGTAACTGCCGAACATAATAATGACTAAATTAATTACAACATTAATACAGAATTAAACACATAATTAAGTCGTGCATTGATTGTTGGTCGTTACTCTTCCTGGCTGGCAGGCTGGACGCTTGAGCTCCCTCCTGCTGGACTGGACGGTGGGCTTCCCGCTAGGCTGGAGGAAGGCTTCTGACCGGGCTGGAGGCAGGCTCCCGGGTAGGCTGGAAGGCAGGCTCCCGGGTAGGCTGGAAGGCAGGCTCCCCGTTGGGCTGGAGGCAAGCTCCCGGGTAGGCTGGAAGGCAGGCTCCCGGGTAGGCTGGAAGGCAGGCTCCCGGGTAGGCTGGACCGCAGACTTCCAGTTGGGCTGGACCGCAGGCTCCCAGCTGGGCTGGTAGTCGGCAGGCTCCTGGCTAGGCTGGAAGGTAGGCTCCCGGGTAGGCTGGACCGCAGGCTTCCAGTTGGGCTGGACCGCAGGCTCCCAGCTGGGCTGGTGGTCGGCAGGCTCCTGGCTAGGCTGGAAGGTAGGCTCCCCACTGGGCTGGAAGGCAGGCTCCCGGGTAGGCTGGACCGCAGGCTCCCAGTTGGGCTGGACCGCAGGCTCCCAGCTGGGCTGGTGGTCGGCAGGCTCCTGGCTAGGCTGGAAGGCGGGCTCCCCACTGGGCTGGAAGGCAGGCTCCCCACTGGGCTGGTCGACAGGCTCTCTTGGGCTTCCGCTCCTTGATTGCCCTGGTTGGTTGGGCTGACTCGAGCTCTGGGTTGCTGGGCTTGGGCCCGCTGGTCCAAGTTCGGGGCCTGAGCCGATTAGGCTCTGGGCCTAGTCCCATAACCCCATCACGAGTCCCCCACTCCCTTAGTCGAGTAGTAGACTCGGCTAAGAGGGAGTAGTTTAAGTCAGCCGCCGATTTAAAAATATTCACATATCAGGGAGCCATAATTGTGGATTTCGGGAATCCCAGAATTTATGGAAATTCCCAAATTAAATCAGGCTCCCAAAAAAGGCTCCAAATAAATTCCTTCCTTTTCTTTTCTTTCCTTTTCTTTTCTTTCCCCTTTTTTTTTCTTTTCCTTTCTTTTCTTTTCTTTCCTTTTCTTTTTCTTTCCTTTCTTTTCTTTTTCCTTTCTTCTCTTTCCTTTCTCTCCCACGACCTGCGTCCGTCTTCCTCACGTCACCCCAGCGCCGCCGCCGTCAACCAGGGGACCGGGTTGACCGCCGTCTTGCTCCGAGTGACTCCCGTGTCGACCTCTGCTGTGACAACCACCGGTCGCCAATGTCCCCCCTGTAGTCCGGCGAATCTGACCGGCAGATCTGGGCTCCTGTGGTGGCCGGCGCGTGCTACAGGGATTGGCGGGCTGTCTTGTGCCACCCACCGGTCGCCGATATTGCCCCTGCAGCCCGGTGAATCTGGCTGGCGGGCCTGGGCTCCTGTGGTGGCCGGCGCACGCTATAGGGATCGGTGGTCACCCCATTGTCGGACGGTGTCGCCCAAGAGGTTGGCGGCTCTCAGGGCGGTTGTCTCCGAGATGAACATCAATAGGCTTCCACTTTACCTCTCTTGATTTTTTTATGATGGTTTGTCATTGTTTGCAGAGAGCTCTTTTACAATTCTGACAAGGCTAAGGTTGTGGTGGCAGGCGGCTAGGCGGCTGGGCAGCAGGGCGGCCAGGCGGCCAGGCAGCTAGGCGGCCAGGCGGCCGGGCGACAGGGTGGCTAGGCAGCCAGGCGGCAGTGCGGCAAAGCGGCAAGGCGGCTGGGCGTCTGGGCGGTCAGGCGGCCGAGCGGCAGGGTGGCCAGGCGGCAGGGCGGCCAGGCGGCCAGGCACTTGCATAGTTTCAGGCCTCAACCACATTTTCACATGTGCTTGAACAAATGTGATGAGAAAGAGATAACTCCATTCAACTTAGCGACCATCTGTCTCGAAGAGGATGACCATCTAGCGAGGATAACGCCACAGTGAATTTCGATAGAATTTCTTGAGATTTCTAGTGACTCTCATGCCCGGATCATTATACTTGATGGCCATGGGAACATCCGGCCATGACTGTTGCACCTTTTTTTTTGTAGCTTGTAGCCGCCATATGTAAAATTCGAATGAATATTACCTTTTAATTCATATGTTTCCTTTTCTATACTTTGCATTACGAATACTTAGCAATTTATTCGGGGATCTGGCTTCTCTAACCTCCCGGGGGCGGTTAGGCTGGCGTGGCCGAGCCTATCCGTGCCCCTCCTAGTTGGATAGAAGTGATCTGTTCGCTATTGATATGGAATCATCAAATAAGCGACTTGTTTGGCCAGCGATGTCGGACATTGAACCGACGAGGAAGACCCTTAGGTCGGTATCCTGAACGTTCATGACCCGGGGGTCAGTCCTACTGTCACTTTAACCCATCCAGTTTGTCCGGACTTGGGGAATAATCTGGTTACTCCCGCATGGATAGCCAAACAACAGGGGCGGACCCTGCATGATCCACCAGAACGAACCCGCACCGCCAACTCAGGGATGACGAGAGTGCGAGCTGCTTGGCCAGCGATGTTAGGCGGTGAGCACTCGAAAAGACCCGGAGGTCAGCATCCCGAGTACCCTCGACCCGGAGGTCGGCCCTACCATCGCCTCGACTGTCGCGGCTAGCTCTTTACTTTAGAAAATTGCCCGGATTCCTGAAAATCACTTGGCTATTTTCGGTTAAAGAGCCTGGCCGAGGTCGGCCAAACACCGAGGGGGGGGCATAGTACCTTTTTTTTTTTTTTGCCGCCGCCGCCCTTTATTGCTAAGTGAGGTCGGACCTCTTTTGATGACAAAATATCGCTAGCAAAGTATATTGAATTCATGATGTGGGCGGACCACATGAAGAATTACAAATTGTAATCCCGGGCTCGGAGCACATGAGTTTACAAAGAAAAGTGAAACTTCGATTTTCTACTGGTAAAACTTCATCAGGTGCTCGGCTGGATTCTACGCCCCACTCTGCACAGAATTGTCGGAAGGCTTCGCAGTCAAACTGCCTTCCGTTGTCGGAGATTATTTGGAGGGGAACCCCAAACCGGCAGAAAATATTCTTCCATATGAACTTCCTACATTGGAGATGTGTGATGCTGGCAAGCGGCTCGGCCTCAACCCACTTCGTAAAGTAGTCCACTGCGACGATGACAAACTTCCGGTTTCCCGACCCGGTTGGTAAGGGACCGACCAGGTCGACACCCCATCTTGTGAATGGAAGGGCGGTGCTGATCGGTGTGTACATTGTTGCTGGTCGGCCGGGGCTCTTCTGGAACTTCTGGCATGTCTCGCATTTCCTTGCATAGTCAGCGCAATCCTTCATTATTGTTGGCCAAAAGTACCCCTGGAGGACGACCTTCCTAGCTAACGTGCCTGCCCCCTGATGGGCGGAGCATACGCCCCCATGGAGTTCAGAGACGATCATTTCCGCCTCATGTGGGCGTAAACACTTTAGCAAGGTCCCATTGTAGGACCTCTTGTACAGCTTCCCATCCAAGACGACGTGGCCCGGAGCTCGCCGCCGGACTAACCTTGCCTCCTCCTCTTTATCGGGGAGCGTCCCGTCGGCTATGTAGCGCAGGAGGTCATCCACCCAACACCAGGCGACTGGTTGCAGGGGAAGGACGTCAATGGACGGTGAGGCTGATATGCTTGAGGTCGTCATCTCCTCAATGCGTGCAATTCTCGATATATGTTCAGGTAACCCTTGGGATAGCTTTGAGAGGAGGTCTGCATCGGAGTTTTGATTTCTCGGGATGCAGATCAACTCTGCTTGCTTGAACAACCCGAGCAACTCCCGAACAACATCTCGATACTTCATCATTCTTTCTTCCTTCGCTTCGAACTCACCTTTGACCTGGGAAACCACCAGGCGGGAGTCACATTTCACCATTATCCACTCTGCTCCCATGGCGGCTGCCAATCGTAGCCCAGACAGTAGGGCCTCGTACTCCACCTCATTGTTGGAGACTTTGAAAAGATAGCGGTAGGCATAGTAGGCTCGGAATCCCTCGGGTGAGATGAGGACGATTCCGCCCCCGCATCCCTTGGCTCCTGCCGACCCATCAGTCGCTAGAGTCCACCATTGTTCATTGCTCTCTTGTTGCCTATCTGCTACTTCTCGGGCCGTGCATTCCACAATGAAATCAGCCAGAGCCTGGCCTTTGATGGACGTCCGAGGCTGGAAGTCAACCTCGTATTGGTTGAGGAGCATCGACCACTTCACTACCCGGGTTGTGCCGGGCGCCCTCAGAGCGGCACCTAGGGGCTGGTCCGACAGGATTCTGATCGGGTGCGCTTGGAAGTAGTGTGTCAACTTCTTGGCGGTGATGTAGGCGGCATATATTGTCTTCTCGAGCGGGGTGTACCGGAGCTCAGCACTCTGGAGGGTCTTGCTCACATAGTAGACGGGACGCTGAACGCCTTCCTCCTCGCGAACCAGCACAGAACTGATTGCACCTTGGGAAACCCCAAGATAAAGGATTAACGTCTCCCCCCTCTCCGGCTTGCTGAGTAAAGGCTCAGAGAGGAGGTACTTCTTCAGGTCGTCGAAGGCTCGCTGACACTCATCATTCCAGACGAAACCATTTTGTTTCTTTAGGACCTGGAAGAAGGGTAGGGACTTCTCGGCGGACTTGGACATGAAGCGTCCGAGGGCTGCTAGACGGCCGGTGAGAATCTGGACTTCTTTCACTGACCTCGGGGGTTCCATGTCAAGTATTGCCCTTACCTTCTCAGGATTTGGCTCAATCCCCCTCCGTGTGACCATGTACCCCAGGAACTTGCCTCCTTGGACGGCAAAGGTACATTTCTTCGGGTTCAGGCGCAGACGGACTGCCTT